CGCCGCTGCTGCCCACGCGCGGAACAGTGCCCGGCGCGCGTGCACGCGCAAGGAGGAGCTGCTAAAGGAACTGGCAACACAACGCTTCGCTGACAAGGTGACATGAGAGTTTAAAGCAAAATTTTAGACCTTCCCGAGCTTAAGCAAGATCCAATGAAGGCAAACTTACAGGTCAACTGCTTGCCCAGAATTTAAAAAGGAACATTAACGATTACATGAAAGTCAATACCTTATAGGTCAAAAGGTCATGGAAGAACATCCTTGAACAGGTCAACAAAAACACAATAAGCAAGAATTGCTCCATCTTTCCTGCTTCCTCAGGGAAACGACACAGTGACCAGGTCAAGAAGATACTTCCACCTTCATAGGAGGTATTTGGGGCAAAGCAAAATGTAAAAGTTGCTCAAGCTCAACAATTTGCCATTATAAATACAGCCAACTTGAAACCACCCCAATCTTGACAGGTTGGGCAAGTGTCCTGGTCTTCAACTTCAGAATCCCAAAATGAAAGTAATTAACTAAGCCACAAAGCAAAGCTGATGTTTGGTCCTTGCTCAGCCTATTAAAACAAAAAATCCCTGGAGATAACTTGGTATCTTTTTTCTCACCCACTGGAGTAGCTGGCTTAGGCATCTGGTCTTCACAAAACAATTGAGGGGACCCTTGATGAGAAACTGAATGGCTACTACAGCCCAGTGTCATGGAGCAGTGGAAGGATGGGCGCCCCATGCTGCACGGCGGGGATTCCAGAATCCAACACTGGACCTGGTAACTTCACAAGGTAGAGCACCTTCCACACAGCCATCTGTGTGCTACACGTGCCTTACTGCCTTAAAAATGACCAGAACAATGCACAACCATGCCTGGAAAACATGGATCCGGCTCGTCTGTTTGCACAATATGGATTCTAGACGTGGTGTTTCATCTGCCTTTATCTGAGCATTAAATTCACCAGTGTAGCCGCACTCGTTCTTAAGGCCGGGGCTGCAGCTTCTGTGAGGTGTGGGAGGGAAGCTTTTTGTCCTTAAATCTGTGCACTCATTTTCCATTTCAGGGTCTGTTCAATTAAAAAAGCAGGAAGAGTACTACACTCTTCAAAAATATCAGTGTCATAAAAGATAAAGTCTGTGGATATATTCCAGATTAGAGGAAACTAAAGAAGCAGGACAACTATATAACACCTGGTCCTAGAGTGAATTCTTTACTGGGGGATTAAAGATGCTATAAAAATATTATGGGGATTACAAATTGGAGTATAAATGGCAAATTAGGTAAAAATATTTTAGCAATGTTAAACTCTAAAGTTGGTAACTGTACTGTCGCTATATGTAAGAGTCTCCTTACTCTTTGGAAATACTCACGTATTTAGAAGTAAAGAACCATGATGTATGCAACTCACCAATGATAAAATAAATGGAGTAAAATGTTAACAAGGACTGAATCTTAGTAAAGGGTATTTGGAAATTCTTTGTACTATTCTCATTCTTGCAGTTTTTCTGTAGATTGAAATTATTTCCAAATAAAATATTTTTAAAAAACAAGGCTTGTGGAAGTTTTACAAAATGAGTCCAGGAAGTAAAGTTTTAGGGTCTGTCCTGGTGTTAGCTATTTCTTACATACCCCACATTATAACTGGTCAGCACAGGGCCCACAGAGGAGCCCAGTAGTGGGGCCCGCCAACTAGCCAGTCAGGTTACTTCTGATTTTGCACTTTCAGAGAGTTAAGCATCACTGGATTGTGCTTTAATTACGTGGTCAGAGTGAGACCAGATCGTTCTCGACAGCGGAGCACCCTTCTGGTAAGGTTCACAAAAAGGCACTTCTCACCCTCTATTCAAAAACCAACAGACAAGGTCTACTGGGACCCAAATTCACTTCCAGGGCCTTGGTAGCACTTGTTTTGTCACTACTGTTTATTTTCATTTCCAGGAAATGCTTACATAATGGCAAATCTGAATTAATGAAGGGACTTTTAAATGATCTTATAAAATTACAGGAAAGAAGTTGAGGGAAAGATGGGGAAAGAAAAGCAAAGGAAAAAATATTAATAGGGAATTCAATATAAAACAACCTAGGATTTGAAAAACATACTCTCTTCCTCTCCTGAAAGAGCGATCTGATGTACATTCATATGGAAATAGACCTAAAAAGATAGCTTTCCTTCCAAAGACCAGGAGAAACAGAAATTTGGTAACATTAGCCTGGAAGCCCTCTAGATATAGAGGTTGGAAATTCAAGACCAGAGGCATCTGGGAGCAACAGAAGAAGCTCAAAGGGCCCTCAAAACAGATGCCTGTGTACTGCAAAGCGTGGCCATGCATAGCCAGAGTCCTCCGTGGCGGCAGACAAAAGGCGGGTCTGTACTGAGCCCTGAATTAGCAACACAGAGACAAGATAAAAAGCCCGGTTCTCAAGACTGCATCAAAGTAGGAGAGGGGGAAGGCCCAGCGAGTATCGGGCAGGGGGCCGCCATAAGAAATAGGAAAGCAGAAGGAAAGGCGTGACCACTGTGCCAAGTGGTGAGACAAGGTTTCCTAGGGCAGGTGAAGTGCGGCCTGAGCCTGGAAAGGTGGAGGGGTCACAGATTCGGGTGTGACTGGGCAGGGAGGCGATGTGGAGAGGAGCTGGGAAGAGTGTGCCGGAGGAGCATGCAATGGACACAAGGCCCACTCGGGCGGACACAGGCTGGATGATGGAGCAGCAAGACAGGCCATGGCCTCGTGGAGTTTCCACTCAATCCTAAACGTTGGGCAGCACTGGAAGACTACGAAGGAAAGCAACGTTACCCGAGTTGTATTTTAACAAGTTCACCCAGGAAACAGCACGTGGGATGGAGTGGATGGGGAAACGAGGGGATACAGATTCCTAGTCCAAAAATGTGCAGAAAGCACCACCAAAGAACACCCATCATTTTAACTGGGAGCGTCATATATAGAGACCAGGTTGTTTTGTCCCTTTGGTCAGAACGGACATGAGACTCCAGCATTCTGATATGTTCACACAGAAATGACAACTGTACTTCCCCTCACCAATGACTGAATTTTATATTCTCACCAAATTCATTCGAAGTTTAAGCTGAATGAATTCACAAGAAGGGAGACAATGATCAGTGAAATTACATGATTCATATTCATTATCAGGGAAAAGTAAAAATAATCAGAGTACAATATTTTGGAAAACATGTGCTTTCATAGTACCTTCTAGTCACATCAACTTAATAGGCAGCGAATTAGCAGAAAAGACCTTTGAGGGAAACAAGCTGTGGGAACGGGAGAGGAGGAGATAGTCTTGTACATTGACAGAATCTGAGAAACCACTCATCTGTGCCCACAGAGCCCAACACTCCCTTTTGTCATGGAAACAGTTGCAGCTTCTGGTCACACTGCCAATGGACCTTCAGCATTCCTGCCGAGTCTCGGTGTTTAAAAATGATCAGATTAATAGCTTGATGACAATAATTTCATCAGCCTGGGAAAACGGCACAACACTGTGGCTTTGATGTCCTGCCTCCCATGGGTGCTTACTGGCTCCCATGTTAGGAAACACTGCACATCACACACAGCAGGCTCAGGCCACTGACACGACAGTGCCTGGTGTAGGGAAGGGAGGAGTTTAAAATCCCCGGTTCTCGAAATCCCTGTCTTGCCCCATGTGCCCTGTATTTATGGGATGCTGCAAGTCAGAACACCAAAGGGCTATGATATCTCAGCGCCCGCTGAGCAGAGCTGCAGGCGGGGTGAGAGGAAGCAGGCTCGGAGCTGACCCTGGAAGACGGGGAAATGTCCACCCCGCTCTCCCTCGACTGGCCAGCCCCTCGCTGTGGGTGACTCAGCACCAGCATCTACTCATAAACGAAAAGGGTCAGAAGCTACATTTAGGTAACTCTTAGGCCCCTCCTGACTGTCTAAAGAGATAAAGGAAGAAATGGAAGTGAGTGGCCAAGTGCCTCCTGGTTCCATGACTGTCCGAGCACAGGGGACCCAGCAAGTGACCGCTGGTGTCCTAAAGGCCCGGAGCAAGCAGCGCTTTGGTGCCAGACAGACTCGGACTTGAGTCCTGGTTCAACATGGGCAAGTGGCTTAACCTCTCTACACTGCAATTTCCATAAATTTAAAGATCATGATCACACCGTCTTATGAAAGGTCATTATGAGATGCAGTGAAATAAATGGATATATATGAAGTGCTTACACTGTGCCTGAGAAGCATCCCCTCAAATATTAGCTACTGTTATGATGGTTGATCATCTGGGGCTGCAGGGTTGATCATTTGGGGCTTCAGGGTACAAAAAGTGAAACACAGTAATGAAAGCCATAAGGAACACTATGTGTGTGAAGCGGTGGGGCAGGTCATGGGCAGGAGCAGAAAAAGCGTAAGAAAGTCAACTTCTCCCAAGGCACTATTAAAAATGTACCTAAGCATGGAAATGCTGTGAGCCATTTTTTCTTTGTGTTGAGATAGATACCCATAAAAACTCCTACATTTGCTTCCTCTTGTATTATGTATTATATTTTCACAGTATTATATCTGTTAGCTGCATAATAAAATCAAAGGTCCCTATAAAAATTAACTCAAAATGAACCAAAAGCCCAAATGTAAGAGATAAAACTCTTAGAAAGAAAACATAAGTGTAAGAAAACTCTTGAAAGAAAACTCTTCATAACATTGGATGTGGCAATATTTCTTGGATATGACACCAAAAGCACAAGCAACAAAGGAAAAAAATAGGTCATCTGGACCACATCAAAGTGAAAAACTGTTGTGAATCATAGGACACTCTCCACAGAGTGCAAAGGCTACCCATAAGTGGGAGGAAATATTTGCGAACTATGTATCTAATAAAAGATTCATGTCCAGAATATATAAACAACTCCTACAATCCAATAATAAAAAGCAAACAATCCAATTAAGTAATGGGCTAAGGACTTGAACAGACTTTTCTCCACAGAAAACATACAAATGATCAATGAGCACATGAAAAGGTGCTCAACCTCACTCATCATTAGGGAAATGTAAATCACAACCACAGTGAGATACTGCTTCCAACCTTTAGAACAGCTATTACTCAAACACAGAAAACCAGAAAGTAAGTATTGGTGAGGGTGTGGAGAAACTGGAACCCTTGCACATTGCTGGTGGGAATGTAAAACAGGGCAGCACTATGGAAAACGGTAAGGCAATTCTCTCTCTTCCCCGCAAAAGTAGAATTACTATAAGATCCAGTAATTCCACTTCTGGGCACATACACGAAAGAATTGAAAGCAGGGTCTTGAAAAGACAGGTGCACATCCATGTTCACAGCAGCAGCATCCACACAGCAGCCACAAGGTGGAGGCAACCCAAAGCCCATCCACAGATGAATGGATAATCACAGTGTGGCATATCCATATGGTGGAATATTACTCAGCTTTAAAAAGGAAGGAAATTCTGACACATGCTACAACATGGATGAAACTTGAAGACACTAGCTAAGTAAAAAAAGCCAGTCCCAAAAGAACAAATACTGCACGATTCTACTCAGATGAAGTACCTAGCACAGTCAGATTCAGAGAGACAGAAAGTAGAATGGTGGGTGCCAGGGCTGGGGGAGGGGAAGGGGGAGTCAGAGTTTAATGGGGACAGGGTTTCAGTTGGGAAGACGGAAAAATTCTGAAGTTGGATAGTGGTGATGGTTACACAGCAATGTGAATGTACTTAACACCACCGAACTGAATACTAAAAATATCTAAATAGTGTCTTCTGTTACGAATATTTCACCACAATCTTTTAACTATTAAGAATCATTACCGTATCTGTTTCATCCCAGTGTTTGCTGTCATCCTTGCTCTAGTAAAAGTCAGTTTTGTTCCGCTCTCCACCCTCTCTGGTGGTTATTACACGGTGGCTTTGGAACAGTCATGGCATACCTGTGTACCTGGCAGCTAAGATATATTAACAGTCCAATTCTCTTGAAATAAAACCTTAAGAACTTACAATAATTATGCTTCAACTGTTTACACTAAATTCACTTCTACTCTAGGTATCCTGACTTTAAAAGGATACCTAAGGAATAATTTTTTTTAAAAATCCAGACTTGAAGTGCATGAAGAAAAAAAGAAATCATGCCTTTAATAGTGTGCTAACATCACAGTCACTTACTTAGGAATGAGATTTTCTTTCGTTACCAAGATGGCAACAGTTGCTGTGGAAACCACACAAAAACAGGAATACTTAACTGAAACAAACTCTACTCACCTGCACAAAGATGCCCTTGCTCTTATATTCCTCATGGATGCACTGAGAGAAGAAATCCACAAAAGCCTGGGAGGGGGTGGGAGTGAGAAGAAAACACACACACATCACATCAATCTGTCTGACTTGTAACCACGGAAACAAAAATAAACTAACCATTTAACACTATAGCTTCTAATCATTCTTTTTATTTCAAATGCAGAAGAGACCTTAAAAAAACACCTCAAGCCCTCAAGTAATTTTTATCTGCCACTAAATTAAGTATTCTCTTACCAAATATAATATCCAGATAAAATTTTGATGTAACTGGAAAAAGCTCTTTTCTTTTCTTTTTTCAGAAAATTGCTCTACGAGAAGAAATGTTTGCTTATACAACAAAGGATGCATTCCCCCTCCCTACTTGCCATTCAAACAGAAACACAGTATCAATTCTGGTCAGCTCTGTTCTGTGGGCACTTTGTTGTCAATAAGGAAAGAGCAAGCATCGCCTTGGCCCTGTGGGGTCCAGGAAGCGTAGAGATGAACCTGACAGCCCGTCTTCCTCTGTAGCACAACTTTAAATCTGCTTGTGAAATATAATGGACGGGACCTCAGGCTTGAAATGCAAAGTATCAGTAAGGACTCTACTAGGGTCCCAAGGATTAGTCTTACGTCCACGAAGCAGAACAGGTAGGCAGCTGGAGTTCACCCTTCACTTCCAGAAACCTGGTGTTGGCCATAAACACCACCACTGCATGTTTCAGAGCCACAGAAGGCAAGCAGATTGCAGGGGTGGGGTGGTGCCAAGCTTCCCTAAAAGACAGTAGTTGCTGTTTACGGTTTTCCAGTGGACACAAAGCCAAGTGAAAAAGCAGGCAGGTGTGTCGGTCTTTTCCTTCTCTGACCTATTGCGCGTTCTTATTATGTATTATATTTTGCTCATTTCCCCTAAAAGTGTATTTAATTCCAGTATCTCAGTGGGCATTTCCATTTCAGAGATGTAGCCTATGCCTTGATAATGTATATGCAGATAATGCTATTGACCTGCAGGCAGTGGGAAATGCATCCTAAATTACTTTCCTGGTAGTGATCTGAAGAGGTGAATGGTAATATATAAATTACGACATCTTTCACAGTTCTGGAAAATTCTCATCTCACTCTAGAAGCAACAATAAACATCTGTGAATTCTGAGTAGTATGGCAAAATACACTCTCACCCAGTCTATCTTGTGCCTACTATGTGTATTTAAGTGCTGACTGGCTGTGACCCTTCTGCTCAGCCCTTCGACTTGAACTGATGCTGTATGAAGGTGACTCATTCATGAATCAAATTCCCGATCTTAGATCCACTGACCTTATTTTCTGATTGACTGAGCTAACTGGCGTAGGCCAGCTGTCTCTGGAAAGTTCAAATATCAATTTTAACAGCAGTAAACTAGTGGGAGGAAAGAAACCATGTGTGGATCTGAGATCTTGGTGCCCATTTATAAAGTTTGTACCAATCAGTTCTCGTTGGCTCTGGCTCCCCTGAAACCGGTGTAGGGTATTTTCCTTTTCTTCTCATTCACTTGAAAACTGCCAAGAACAGAACTTCAAGAAAGTTCTATGCTCATCTCTGAGATGAAAAAGATCCCTCGTTTCTACTCTGACATTACTGAGAGATCGTTCACCTTGGTCGCAGAGTAGATGGTCAGCAGCGGGACTGGGCTCATGCCACTGGCAGAGGAGATGTTCAGAATCACTCCTTTAGATCTGAAAAGGAAAATGTTCCATAAACAGGATGAAATATATACACGCTGTTTGTACGTTAGAGATGGAGAGACAGATCGGAAACAGAATGACCCAGCTGTTTTCTAACGCACGTCTCTCCCTGCCTTTCATCAGCATGTGATGCGCTCGGTCAGTGAATGAGGCATAACTCAATCAACTAAAAATAGCTCTCGTTTGCAGTTCGCTCATTTCTCAGCCTTAGCAATCTGGGGCATGGCCGGATCAGGGCCACAGTCCCCGAGTTGACCTCCACCCTGAGGTCTTCTCGGCCCACAGCACCAAGAATTCCCACCTGTGGAAGCACTCCCAGACCCCCTGCATGCCTTTGTTCTGGTATCATCATGTATTGCCTTGCTGTGGCGTTTAATCATTTTTATATGCGTACATATTTCTCTCCCTCAACAGAACCATAAGCTTCTGGACATCACTCACCTTGTCCTCACTTTCCCTCAGCGCACCCAGCACAGCCGAGCATGTAACCAGTGCTTAATAAAAGCTTCTGGAAGCGAGCGCTCCCGCCTTCCCTGGGTCACGGATACTCAGGTGCTAAATGAAGAGCTGACGCCAACATGAGACGCTATAGCTCAGCAGACCATTTTCTCTAGCGAAAAGGCAAAGCTCAAAAGTTTCTACTGTAACTTTTAGAGGCTAAGGGAATTTAAAAGTCAGAAAGTTAGCAGGAGTTACTAATTCTACAAATGAAAAGTAGCCTGAGGAAAGCAATACTGTAAATATACGAGTTGCTAGCAAGTATATATGGGTTAGGTGAGGTGTGGAATGAGGGTTTGGGGCACGTTAGATTTAACAGCCAGCTCTTCCCCCTCAAGTCCACTCCCATTGGGGGTGGTCCCCTTCTTTAGCTGCGCCGACCTGACCTCACCCCTCTGCTGCCCGCCCGGTCAGGTCCCTTCCCCTCAACCCAGTTTCCCAGTATCCTTCACCTGCATTTACTTCCCCCAAAGCCTATTTTTTTAATATTAAAAAAAGGGACTAGATCCTTTTTATGCAAAATAATAAGAGAAACATGATTAAGTGGCATCTCCATTATTTTAGACATAAATCTGAAAAGAAATAATCCCCAAAGGTCACCCAGTCCATCTGCCAGCCTCTGGGCAAGATGCCACTTTGACCGTCAAACGGAGTCTGGATCATGGATCCTCCTCAGCTTAATTGTCACTAGAAACAAGTTGTTGTTTTTGTTTTTTTAACTGAAGTCCTTGTTTGTAATACACACTTTCCTAAACGGTGACATCCATTAACATTTTGGTCACAGAAATCAAATTTCAAATTTGAAAACGTCATACTAGGGTTTTGAAGAAAGTTGGAAATTAGTCAATGTATTAATTATACCATTTTTGTATTTTTTTAAATTCAATATTATTTTGCATTAGTTTCAGGTGTACAGCATAGTGGTTAGACAATCATACACTTTACAAAGTGTTCCCCTTGATATTTCCAATGCCCAACTGGCACCATACATAGTTATTACAATATTATTGACTATATTTTTAATTTTGTATTTTTTGCTTATGTCTCTCGCAAAGACAGAAAAGCCTTTTCTTTTTAAATTTTAAGGTGAGAGTGTCAGACTCTCTATCAGGAGTTAGAAGCCAATCACTCTAAGATAAAAACCTGTGAATTAGCAATGAATTTCTGGTAATTTCATTTTACCTATATTTGTGAGAAATTCCTTTGATGAAAATGGACTAAAAACCACTTGCAAAACTGGAGATGTTTAATATAGCATTAGTTTATGGTGCTTAAAATATCTCCATCTTTTTAGGGTGTTGAAAATATTCAGAAATTAGCTTGTGGTGATGGCTGCACAGCTTTGTGAATATACTAGAAACCACCAAATTGTGCACTTTATAAATGAGTGGATTTTATGGTGTGTGAAATGTATCTCAATAAATCTGTCAAAAAAAAAAGAGGAAAAAATATATATTTATGATATATTAGAAGGTGCCACCTTTAAGCTCAGAGCAGATCCCAATGAAGTGGAAGCTACAAAAGCGATTCGTTTTCACTAAAATGGATTCTTAAAACTTCACCAGAGCAATGATTTCAACACAGGAAAATTCACTTAAAGATAACAAAAACTTCTTTCCCGTTTTTGAATATAACAGACCAAATCAAATATGTCACAATTATGCAGCCTTGCTTAATTGTCTATTCCTTGAGTCAACTGAGATTTTTGTTTCTCAAATATTCCACCCTAATTACAATTTCTAGGAGGCAGCGTTAGTTTGAATTAGTGACAAGTCAGAATTTGAGGGTACTTGATTCACAACACAATATTTGCACTCCAAAGTACATTAAAACAAGCCTAAGACCAACCAAGTATAAAGCGAGAATGCACTAGGCCTAAGTAAATAAAAGGGAAGCATTTATAACCTTACTAAAGTGTCAGCAGAGGAAACAGCCCTCTACAAAAACTCCGTGCTACCAAGAAGCACACGTATTTGCTTTCCTAGCAGAAGCCTTCCTCCCACAGCCACATGCACAACAGCACAAAATCCTCTCTCTCTCCCCAAGGACAATCACGTTCGCCTTAGTTTTTCTGAATCATAAATAACGCTGGTACAGCTGCCTTAATCCCTGTACATGCAGGATCTATTCTTTACGCAGAGATGGGGGATGGACAGTTGGGAGGGGGAGGCACAGAGGACTCGTCTTTAAAATAAACTACTCTGTTGAGCTCTGATCCTCTATCTAAGCTGAATTAGTGACGTCAAACCAGTTTCCATGGCACAGCCAGACTCACAACAACTCTGTTCTCTCAAGCAGAAGGACAAAAGGGGCTGCGCTTAATTGCACAGAGAAACAAACATAAAACCAAAGCCTGGTTAATCTCTCATTTTCCGGGGACTCGGGGAGCAATTCTAAGATTGGAAGGTACATTAAGAATATTTGCTGAAGTTCCACAATGAAGACTCACATCGCTTCAGCGCATTTCCAGTTTGTTATGACAAATAATCCAAATAAACAAGGCAAGTAATATTTTCTGACACAACATTCTTAATCCATCACGCGTCTCACTTGCTGACAGCCACACGATGGTGTCCTGGTGCGTATCACTGAGGCTCGACTAGAACTAAAACACTGCAAAAACCAAGCGGAGAGCACCACTGCTGATAAGGTTAGAACTCCCTCAGACCTGTGAAAATCCCTATCACAACACTCCCCTTCGTTGTCACCTGGATTAAAAAAAAAAAAGCCAAGGCCTTACTCTTCTCTACATGTCCCCCTATCCCAGCAGACTGTTGTAGTAACCTTGTCTGGAGCTCTAGAAAAATATTATTGCCATAGAGGAAGCGACAGGTCTCCCTTGAAGTAAGTCACTGATTTCTGCCTTTCTCGGGAACCTCATCATTGCCCCACATTGCGGGTGAGGAGAGGGAGGTGGGGGCGTAAATGCCATGTGAAGAAATGGAACACGGTCAACCCTAGTGTGGACGTCGAACTGTATACAGAGTTTGACAGCAGTCAAGGGAGACTGTGTAAAAAAGACCATCACGATTCTTCATAGTCCCATTTCTTATCAGGGAATGCAGAAGTGTGCTCTTGGAGGGTCATTCCTCTTATTTTTAAGCTTAAACATAATGCTGAACTTGGTACAGACAGTTCTCTAACAGACTCTCAGGAAAACCAAGAAACATATCAAAACAGTTGTATGTCAGGAGAGAATCCTGGAACACAGGGTCAGGTAGATAATTAGAACTAGTGATCCAAGAGCTTTGTACAAATATTGCTTTGTTGAAGAAAGTTTGCAAACACTTGCCACATGAAAGAGAACTGCCTGCCCTAAAACACCATAACATGTCATAATTCCACCTTAAGCAATACAGTATGAAAGAGGCTATTTTTAGCTTTTCCATGGTTGTTATGGCAACCACCTCCTGGCTCCAGCTGTACACAATGTTTATAATTCCAGGGAAGTGGAGAGAGCAAGTTTCCTCTGTAATGTAATTATGCACTTTCTACCTCTATGGTAATATAATACCTTCGTTTGCTTGCAGATATTTGTTTAGTGATGGTCAGCTGGCCCCAGGCTATAGTTCTAGAGGGTTTGGAAAACCTCATACATCAGAGATAGAATCAGTGCAAGGGGGAAAAAACAACAAAGGATCTTTATATAGGACTGCTTTTACTAAATAGAGATGAATCTGATGGAAACCAAGCATAGGAAATATGCCATTTGGGGACAGTGTAAAGGGCAGGCTATAATACAATCATTTATAATGTATAAGGCTTACCAGGTGCTCTGTTAAACTGGAGTTCTTTCCTCTTGGGCATGCAGCCTCTGCCTGAGTCCAGGACAATGGAATGTGGGCAGAGTGATGTACAGCCCTTCCAGGCCTGGCCCACGAAACCTCCCATAAAATCATCCTTACTCTCTCACCGCCTCGCTAGCTGGATCCGGAGGACTTGGCAGAGAACTGCAATGCCCAAGGGAAGAGGAATGGAGGCCCCAGAGGCAAGGAGCCTGAGACCCTGAACGACTGGGCAGAGCAGAGCCCTGACCACTGATTCATGTTGGCCGTGCTGCAAGGGGAAAATCAACTCTTACAGTGTTAAGCCATGGAGATTTGAGGGTGGTCTGTTAGAGCAGTTAGCCTACCTTGACTAATACAACTAGAAACCCCTTGAACTCAAGTGAATATAGCTAGTCCTTCTCCTAACCAAAAGAACAAACTCAAAATCCAGTCACATTTCTTACTAGTTCCTAACAAATGCCACGATCACCCCATGATGTCAGTTTCAGTCCAGCCTATGATGGCTTTCCACCAGATCATTCCTCAACCTCAGTTTAAAATCAACCTGAGTTCTTAAAGGATCCAATGCATCTTCTATATGCTCCATGATAAAATCTACTCAATGAATGCCTGTTGAATGGGTGGACCCTTTTCTTTGCATTCTTTGTTTTTATCTAACGCTTCAACTACAACCGTGATCGTAACTGCGAGGTCTACAGAGACAGGGGTGAAGTTCCTAGTACCTTGTGCATTTACTAATTATGTAGCTTCATAGCATTCATTTAACTTAAAGTAATGAAATTCTATGACTCTGAATCCAATACTTTATGGTCTGCAAAATATGTCATAACCATGACCTCTTTTGATTTAGGTTTTCACCAACACACTTAAAAATTTCTTTTACAATACCTCTGTGATTTAAAAGTATGTAAGTATTTCTTTTTTAATGGATGGACTTCCTACTCTGAATTAATACCATGTCACTTACAGCTGTCAAAGTAGGATTAAGGTGATGCTCCAAATTTCATCTCTCCTGAGTTCTATTCTGTCTGCCCTAATTCTCTGCAATTTTCTAGGGCTCTGGTCTGGTTTGACCACTGTCACTTCCATATCTGACCACCCAGGGGACACACTCCCATGGTCAACCAACAACAAGCAGTTTGAAGATTTTAAAGAGAAATGTGACTAAAGTCAAGCTATTAAAATATACAAAACTACATATAAAATGTTATTACAAACAAAGAGCATTGCTAAGGAGCAGTTTCTCAACCAGTCTCTGCAGATGCCAAACAAAATGGATTCCTAACCTCAGTTTCCTCATCTGTACAATGGTGGGAGGCTATCAAAATTAAATGAGTTAACACATATCATGCTCTTGGTACAACACCTGGCACGTAATATATACTCCATAAACATTAGCTGTAATCCCTTCCTGAAGCTGGTCAGAGGTTTCTACACAGAAGTAGGATTGTGGGTCTTCCCTTCTCAAAGCTGTGATTCCTTTGGATGTCTTCCAAACTCAAAGCTATTTTGCAGAGGAAGGATGACTGTGAAGCCCTAAATTTAGCAAATGAGCAAGCCAGCTCAAGATGCAAGCCCAGCTCTTTGCAACAGGTCTTCTTTGAAGGTCTAGCCATCATTCAGGCTTTTCCAAGGCAAGAACAGGGTTTAACCACAATTTCACACTTTGTGCTGTTTCAAATGTAAGAGCTCAACAATACATTTCTCAATAAAAATGAAGACATCCAGGGTATCCCAGTGGAACCCAATATAAAGTGGAATGATGAGGCTAGTGGACATAGTCTTTTCCTCCAAGGGGGGTTTAGCATCCTATAATCATCTTATAGTCCCAATTCCCCATACGTCCATGCTCCCAGTAAGAACTGGAAAACCAGGGGATGGGGGCTTACTTCATGAAACTCCACTGATTTGGGCTCTGAGAGCACAGAGCTTTGAGAAGGCATTCCAGGGGATATCCCAGGAACTCTATCCACCCCCTCAGAATAGCAGGCAATTGAGTTAGTGATGGTGACTCAAGCAGACTTTTTATCCAGATCTAAAGGAACCACCGTAACCCCGGAGAGGGAAATAAAAAGGGAATCGAGTGGAAAAAGCCTCCCCCACCAGATGACTCACACTTCACCCTGTGACTCACCCAGCACACTGCTGTCACTAAGACTTGGAGGAGAGGTTCATTAGTCACTTTAGTGAATTTTTCAAAGAAAGGATTCTCCCTATAAATAATCATGAGCTCTGTCTCCCCAGTGTTTATGTGTGAGCTCATGACTCACCTTTCTACCATGCCAGGCAGCACCAAGCGTGTCATCTGCAAGAGAGAAAAACAAAACATTCATGATGGCTGATGATGCAACAGAGAAAAGGTGAAAAGAACTCGCCCACACAAACGAGAAGGGAATCACAAAGCCACTCACAACCTCCACAGACAGCGGTTTATTTTATATAGTCTATATAATTTGTGCCAAGAAAAGGAATCAGATGAAATTACTAGAGAGAACGTTGGGAACACTTTCAGTGAACTTGGCTAAAATTATTCTTGCCTGATATGTAATACTGACAGAGCTCTTCAAATAATTAAGGATTTATGGTGAAATCTAAGTATCTCAAAATGCATTCTCAGGAAAGGACATGGGTTATCACAAGAAATACCGTGCCTACACGATTACTTAAGCTTTCTCATTTCAAGAGCTCAAATGATCTTTTCCTATCAAAAGAGCCTTTAGAAGGCCATAAAGTGGCATGTTGGCAAATACTAAGGATATCTTAGCATTTGCTTCTCTTGTTGCTCTAGCCAGGTGTGAGTGAAACTCATCCTCAGAGAAAACTGAGGTTAATCTGTGATCTCAAGTAACCAATGATGAAAACACAATACTTGCATTATTAACGGACTTCATGGGCTACACACATAGAAGATGATGACAGAGACTATTTGTAAACTGTTTTAAGATATAATTACCTAAGAAAAATTAAGATATCCACTAGCTTAGTCAAGGCCGTGCCATCAAGTACTAAGGTTAAAACATGAATTCTTGACTCCTAGACAACAACAATTTCCTAAGAAACAAATGCTGTTTTGCCACAGAAAAGTTTGTATGCATGCTAAGCATAGGAATTGTAAGCTTTCTATCTTGAATAATACTAGATCTTAATTAAAATAGCATTCTGATAAGAAGAGAATTTTTTTTCCTAGAAATATTGCCGCCTACCAATGGGCTGTATCTTCTTTCTTTATTTTTTAATTGAGGTAACATTAATTAATAACATTATATTAGTTCCAGGTGTACAATATTATAATTTGATATCTGTATACACTACAGTGTGCTCACCACCAAAAGTCTAGCCTCCATCCATCACCATATATCTCACCCCCGTTCCCCGTGTCGCGCCCCCTTCATTCTTGGTAACCACCAACTGTTGTCTGTATCTATGAGTTTGTTTCTGTTCTGTTTGTTTCCTTTTTGTTTTATACTCTACATGTGGGTGAAATCATATAGTTTTTGTCCGTTTCCGTCTGACTTACTTCACTTAGCATAAGAACCTCAAGACTCATCCATATTGTTGCAATGGCAATATTTAGAACAGCTGTTCTAAAAGGACAAGCAATAACAGGTGTTGGCGAGGATGGAGAGACAGGGCGGCTTCGTGCACTGTTGCAGGGGGACTGGACACTGGCGCGGTAACTACGGAAAGCAGTACGGAGGCTCCTCAAGAAATTAAGAATGGAGTCGCCATACGACCTAGCAAGTCATCCGGGTATTTACCCAAAGAATATGAAAATGCTAATTCAAAAAGATACATGCACTCCTATGCCCACTGCAGGATTATTTACAATAGCCAATACATGGAAACGACCTAAGTGCCCATCGATAGATGAATGGATAAAGCTATGGCACATATACATATACAATGAAATACTACTCAGCTAGAAATATTTTAAAGAAAATGCATCCAGACTCTACCAAGGTCTACTACGCAGTACTCCGAACCCAGCTGTCAACCTTGGAACTGCTGCATACACTTTTCTAGTAAAAACATGAATTCCAACTGACACTGCATCATAAAAGAGAGGTGGACACACTGCCGACTTCAAAATAGTCAAAGAAGTGTCTTCAAAGCCTGGGGGAGATTTGTCTGAATCTTCTGGCCCAGAAGAAAAAGCAGAGAACAGAGACCATAAGAAGGAGTGTGGTCTAAAGCATTCTTACATGTAAATCTAAGCTTTTCATGTTAATCTCATCTTCACAGAGTGATGGGGCAAAAGTTGCCAACTGTCCTCCAGCGTTCATTCTTTCCATAATATATAATAATTGAGTTTTCAGTTGAATATATGGCCTCTGTCCCACGCTCACTACCCCCCACAAAACCGTATTTTCTACTTCCTCTCTAACATCATGCGGTCCTGTGACTATGTTCTATCTAACAGATGTGAACATAAGTAAATACATATAACTTCTTGGTCATGCCCTTAAAGGAGAAAAAATATATATTCTCCTCTCTGTCTATTTCTCCCCCTCATGGCTACACTATAGATGTGACGGGAGGGCCTACAGCAGCCAAGAAGAAAGCCATGTGCTGGGACAGAGCAATAAGACGAAAAGAGGCAGGATCCCCAATGGCTGTGAAGCTTCTATGCTAAACCTTGACTACCTACCCAGCTTTTTATCTGAGAGAGAAAGAAATTTCTATTTTAAGCTATTCCTAGATCTCAATTACAGCAGCCAAACCAATATCCTAATATAATTTTACCACGTGCATTACTAAAGACCAACCAATATTAATATTTTAAAACTCAACAATTCCCAAAGCAAACTCCATCAGGGAGTATGCTGACCTCCCAAAGGCCTCACTATTTTAGAAGTTTTAAACACGGTTCTATTTCTCCTCTTTTCCAAGTTTGCTTGACCCCATTTGGAATATGCCCACTGGGCCTCAGACTAAACTCTATGGAACTGAGTCAAAGAAAAAGCTGATTTCAGAGCTTATGCTCTCAACACAGTCACCTCTCTTCTTCGCAGATTAAATAATAGCTCTTCGAATTAAATAGAACTCTTATGTGTTTCCTAAGATTTGCCTTTTTATAGGAGCATAGGAACTGCTCGATATATAGCTATCGAATGTTTAAGGCAAGTGTGGTACACAGCCAGGCCAAAGCTCTAATCCCGGCCCTTCCGCTACCCAGCGGTGCGACCTTGGCTTAGCTCCTCCTCTGCAGGGCCCATAAGCAGTAAAGCAGAAGGCGGCTGTATTAGAGGCCATCAGACTCAGTCTCGATGAATAATGCCTAGAAGGACCTGGCATACAGCTCATCACAGAGCAAGTCCCCGAAAGGGAATCGGTGTCCCTCGTTGCCAGCACACACTATTCTTCCAGGATGCAGCTCAGATAAGTATCTAGGCCTCCTTTAAGCATGTTGTGCCCCACACAGTTCAGAGCCAAAAACAATAACACATTTGAGGTCATCCAGTTCAACTCCTCACACAGAAGTCTCTGGACAGTTCCGTCAACATTTAAAAACACCTCNCAGGATCCCCAATGGCTGTGAAGCTTCTATGCTAAACCTTGACTACCTACCCAGCTTTTTATCTGAGAGAGAAAGAAATTTCTATTTTAAGCTATTCCTAGATCTCAATTACAGCAGCCAAACCAATATCCTAATATAATTTTACCACGTGCATTACTAAAGACCAACCAATATTAATATTTTAAAACTCAACAATTCCCAAAGCAAACTCCATCAGGGAGTATGCTGACCTCCCAAAGGCCTCACTATTTTAGAAGTTTTAAACACGGTTCTATTTCTCCTCTTTTCCAAGTTTGCTTGACCCCATTTGGAATATGCCCACTGGGCCTCAGACTAAACTCTATGGAACTGAGTCAAAGAAAAAGCTGATTTCAGAGCTTATGCTCTCAACACAGTCACCTCTCTTCTTCGCAGATTAAATAATAGCTCTTCGAATTAAATAGAACTCTTATGTGTTTCCTAAGATTTGCCTTTTTATAGGAGCATAGGAACTGCTCGATATATAGCTATCGAATGTTTAAGGCAAGTGTGGTACACAGCCAGGCCAAAGCTCTAATCCCGGCCCTTCCGCTACCCAGCGGTGCGACCTTGGCTTAGCTCCTCCTCTGCAGGGCCCATAAGCAGTAAAGCAGAAGGCGGCTGTATTAGAGGCCATCAGACTCAGTCTCGATGAATAATGCCTAGAAGGACCTGGCATACAGCTCATCACAGAGCAAGTCCCCGAAAGGGAATCGGTGTCCCTCGTTGCCAGCACACACTATTCTTCCAGGATGCAGCTCAGATAAGTATCTAGGCCTCCTTTAAGCATGTTGTGCCCCACACAGTTCAGAGCCAAAAACAATAACACATTTGAGGTCATCCAGTTCAACTCCTCACACAGAAGTCTCTGGACAGTTCCGTCAACATTTAAAAACACCTCAGGCCCAGCCGGGCGTGGCTCAGTGGTTAAGCATCAACCTAGGATCCAGGCGATCAGGGTTCGATTCCCAGTCAGGGCACATGCCCGGGTTGTGGGCTGCTGCCAATCAATGACTCTCTCATCATTGATGTTTCTATCTCTCTCTCTCCCTCTCCTTTCCTCTCTCTGAAATCAATAAAGATATATTTAAAAATAAATAAATAAATGAATAAATAAATAAATAAATAAAAACACCTCAGTTGGGATCTTCTCGGGGTACTAGAATTGTTCTAAAATTGGACTGCAGTGATGGCTGCACAACTCTGTAAATTTACTAAAAAACATTCAAATGTACACTTAAATGAACTTTATGGTACATAAGTTATCTCTCAATATTGTTTTTGGGGAAAAAAATCTCAATAATCATACGGATAAGAATTAAAGAACTGGATTCACAAAATACATTTGATGTTACTCTATCCAACACAGCAGATAAAAGAGCTCTAAAAATGCTGTATGCACATCGGCATATGGCCTGGGGCAACATGAACTAATAAAGAGGCTTCTGTCCAGTGGAGGCCACGTTGTACTTGACCCCGAGCTTGGTGATGAGAACTCACTTACCATCTAGCAGGAGAACAGATATTTCTAGAAATCAATCATTACATCACAATGCTATGAGTGGTACCACAGAGGTAAGGACAGAGGGCACCGAGGCTTAGATGGACTAGTTACATCTGAGGAATTAGGAACGTGTCACAGATTAAAGAATAAACAGGGGTTCACCAGGCAGAAAAAAATTCTAATAGGAGAAACTGAGTGTAAAAATGCAAACAGCCACAAGAAACCACCATGCATGCTACAGAATCGATGCACTAAAAAACTCTGT